ACGTTCAGAATGTTTTTGTGACCATACGAGAAAGTAAAATCCGATAGGCAAAACATGGTGCTTTTTCCCCTCGCTGACGACTGGTGGGCCTTTTATATTGGCAAGAAAGTAGGACGCCCACTCAGGCGATCTTTTAAAGGTGTTTTAGAGCTGCCAGACTTCAGTTGCGGGCATACTCACCCAGTGCTCAGCTAAGAGGTGCCCATGTAGGTCATTGGAGCGGGGGAAGAGGGGGAGGGGGATGGGGGTAAATTACCCAAAGTAATGCTGGCATGATTTGGGGACAGGGATATTTCTGTTGAGCGATTCGGTGGCTTTGTTACCAGCGTGATTTTCACATTATTCGCGTGTTATGGGGTTATTTTTCCAGGTATGTCATCGATTCACTATAAATTCAAAGCGACGTTGGAATACAAAACGCTGATCTTTGATGGCCTGCACATATCAGTGAACGATCTCAAAAAGGAAATATGTGAGAAGGAAAATATCAAGGTGAAACCTCCTGCAACTTCCTTTTTCTACGGTACAAATCATTAGAAAAACAGTGCATTGTGGGCCAAGGGTTCGATCCCGCCATTGCTTGACACTCTCAGACTCTCTGTGATTCGTTTCGATGGTAAATTGGTACTGACAGAAATACCGGGGAGGCAAACCCGCTATCAGTTTGTTTATATATATATATATATATTAAGAAGGGGGGGGGGAGGAGGAGGGAGAGCCATCGATCGCCCCTTACCAGCTGCCTGTTGCTATTGGCATCTGCTACCACTTGGGCTACTTCACCCCAGGTGTCTTTGTTTCCCACAAAATGTACGGGAGTTTTAACTTCCTGACAGCAGAACCCCTGACTAGCACCCTTGTTCCGCTCCTCTATGCTCTCCCTAGTCCGTACCTCCTGAGCTGTATATGGGCAATTACCAACCAGCTCCCCCAAATTTGCTACCACTCGGGCGACTTACCAGGTGTCTTTATCTCTTTCAGAGACCGAGGGAGGTTGTAATTGTCTGAAAACAGAAAATACCTCCCAGTTTGTTAGCAGCCCTTGCTTTCGTTGTTTCTCCTAGATAGATCATCAGCCCATCAGCCCTTAGATGGGGAAGATTTCCCCGGGGTTTATTTCGCCCAATTATGCTTACAACATTAGACAAGTTAACTTTTGAAAATTCTGTTGCAATTAATGACTTTCAAGCTTCTACACTTACGCAGGTCAAATTCACTGAGCACCAAAAACTCAACATTGAACAAGTTAATCTTTCAAAATTCTGCTGCTAAAATTTCATACATTTGAAAGTTATTCCATGCCTCGTATTAACTGCGGTAAGAAGGATGTTGCCCTCCTCCCCCACCCCAACGACAGCGAACTCTGTGAGGGCAAACAAGAAATTTTCAAGGATTTTTAGGCGGAATCATTTGATTTGGTGCTAACAAACGCGCACACAAAGCGACAGTACACCGGCGATGAGCTGATACCGCGGAATTCGTCGGTTATTGTGCAACGGGCGCCACGTGATAATGCCGCAAAATTGCCCAAAGTGCAGTAAGTTTTACGATTGTTCTTCGGTTAACCTGATGTTTTGTACACCGATACATCGTTGATCATCTATTTTTTCATCACAGGGCCTTATCGTCGCGCCAGCAACAGCGCTAACCTTCCAAGATTGCTCTGACAGTAGTGCTTTAGTTGTTGATTAACCTGATGATGATTTTGGCGTT